TGATCTTCTTCTGTAAGTACAAGTCCTCTACTTTCAGAAAGCAGGGTTATGTCATCTGTATATTGCAGATTGTTAATGAGTCTTCCTCCAATCCTGACCCTAGGATTCCTTTTTCTGCTGTTGACTGAAATTTCGAAATGTGCCACATCCTTTGGGGATGTGTTTTAGGAGAATCCAGACCCACTGCTGTTGTGTGGATTCTGATTCATAGTGACCCTATAATACAGAGTACAATTGTCCCATAGGGCTTGAAGGGTATAAATCTTTATGGACGCAGACTGCCACATCTTTCTCCTGGAGCAGTGGTAGGGTTGAACCACTGGCTTTTCAGTTAGCAGCTGAGTACTTTAACTACTGTACCATCAGGAGGCATCTTTTCTTTGGTGAGTCAAAGAATGATATATTCAGAGAGAATACTTTTTAATGAATAAACCAATTTTAATTCTTTAGAAACTGTTCATTTTCATGGTACAATGAATGCATTAGTCGTAATACTTAATGAAGAAGAAAAATGTTACATTTTATTTTATGGTCTTTATAGTGTCCTGCATACATGGAATTTTAAAAACTTTTATTATCCAGTTGTTTGCTACTCATATATAGAAGTTCATCTGACTTTTGTATGCTGAGTCCTTGCTAAACTTACTTATTAGTTACTGTGAACTTTCTTAAAATTAGTTTTTTTGTGTGTGTATTTCTTTATCTAAATTAAATTATATTTATGGGAATCGTTGTGAATGGGAACAATGTGTCTTTTTTTAAAATCAGTATTGCCATGGCTAAGACTGCCAGTACCATGCTGAACATGAGTGCTAGGATTGGACATCCTTTTTCTTAATCTTAGGAGGAAAGCATTTAGTTTCACCAGTATGTAGGTTACATATACATGCTTGTTACCACATTGAGGAAGTTTCCTTCTATTCCTGGTTTGCTAGTTTCCTTAGGGTTTTCATCGTGAATTCATGTTGAATTGTGTCACTTTATCTGTATTCATGGAGATGATAATGTGGATTTTCTTCTTTGTTCTGATAATATTCTGAATTTCATTGATTCCATATGGTTAAACCTTTTTTTCCCTGGGATTAAACCCCTTCTGGTTATGAGGTGGGAGCTGTGGTGGCATAGTGCCTAAGGTGTGTGACTGCTAACCAGAAGGCTGACAGTTCAAATTCACTCCTCGGAAGGAAGGTTGGGCAATCTACTTCCGTAGAGACCCTGCCTCGCAAAACCAAGGAGGGGTTGCTATGAGTCGGATCTGACTTGACGGCAGTGAGTTTGTTTTTGGTTTGGTTATGAGGTATTTTGTTTTATATAAAGATGAATTTGATTTGCTAACATTTTATTAAGAAAATTTTGATTGTGTCTTCATGAGTGCTTTTGGTCTATAATTTTTTTTTTCTTGTAATGTCTTTGTCAAGTTTAACATAAACTGATTCCATGAATTAGAAATTGTTCTTTTTTTCTAAAATGTTTTGTATAAATTTTTTTTTTTTCATGATTGTGGATTTTATTAGGGAAGTTGTTGTTGTTGCTTGCCATCGAGTCGGCCCCGACTCCTA